GGTGGAACTGGGGGGACTGGGAGCAGCCTCAGCCAACACAAGCAGTGCTGGGACTGAAACTGGGGATACTGGGAGGCACTGGGAAGCTCCCAGTGCCAGCTCTCCCCACCCCCACCCAAGCTGGGGACCCGGGCGTCTGGGCACCTCCGCTTCCCACACCGCAATGGAGACCTCAACCCCTTCCCAGTTCATACTGGGAGCCCACAGCCCCTTCCCAGTACGGACTGGGAACTGCAATCCCTTCCTAGTCCACACTGGGAGCCCCCAGCCCCTTCCCAGTCTATACTGGGAGCCCCTATCCCTTTCCAGGATAGACTGGGACATCCTTTACCCTTCCCAGTACAAAGCAGACCCTCCCAGACCCCTTCCCAGTCCATACTGGGAGCCCCCGAATGACAGTTGTGGGTGTCAGGTTTATTCGCGTCTTCCACACCTCGCAGCTCCCCGGAGGCCCGGGCCCCTCCCGCAGGGGGGGGGCAATAAATAAATAAGGAGGGGGGTGAGAAAGCACCCGCGGGGGGGGGCAGGAACTGGGTTGCAGTGGTCCATACTGGGAGAACCCATCTGTGCATTAAGATCCCAGTCGGGGGGGGCCCTACCGGTCCATACTGGTCGATACTGGGAGAACGCAAGGCCACAGGGGTGATGAGATCCCGGGCAAGATGCTGTACTGGTTCATACTGGTCTGTACTGGGAGAACGCAAGGCCACGCGGGTGAAGAGATCCCGGGCAAGATGCTGTACTGGTCCATACTGGTCTGTACTGGGAGAACGCAAGGCCACACGGGTGAAGAGATCCCGGGCAAGATGCTGTACTGGTCCATACTGGGAGGACGCAAGGCCACGCGGGTGAAGAGATTCCAGGCAAGATGCTGTACTGGTGCATGCTGGTCCATACTGGGAGAACGCAAGGCCACACGGGTGAAGAGCTCCCAGCTGGGCTGCCGTACTGGTCCATACTGGTCCATGCTGGGATGGCTGAAGGCCATGTCAATCCAGTGATCCCAGTTGGGATGCTGTACTGGTCCATCCCGCTCCGACCCAAGGCGATGCATACGTGGGGTTCCCAGTTGGGGCCCCAGACCCTTCCTGGTCCATACTGGTCTGGCCCAAGGCAACGTAGATCCAGGAGTCCGCGGCTGGGGCGGCGTAGTGGTTCATACTGGTCCATACTGGTCCATACTCGGCTGTCCCAAGGTGATGTAGAACCCCAGCGGGGAGGCTGGCTGTACTGGTCCATACTGGGGTGTCTCCGGACCCACCCCATGGGGATCTATGGGCTTCCAGGGGGTCTATACCGCCCCGGGGGGGGGCCTATGGGGCCCCACCTGGTGCCTACAGGGATCTATAGATCCCCCAAGGGGATCTATAAGGTCCCTACGTTGACCTATAGGTCCCCAGGGGTGTCTGTGGGGTCCCTACGCTGCCCCATAGGTCCGGATATTGGCCTCTGTGTCCCCAAAGAGGACCTACAGGTCCCCACGTTGACCTAGGCGTCCCCAAGGTGGCCTACAGGTCCCCAAAGAGGACCTATGGGTCCCCTGGGATGTCTGTGGGTCCCCACAGTGGCCTACGGGTCCCCACGGTGGCCTAGAGAGTCTCCAAAGATGATCTATGGGTTCCTTGGGACGTCTACGGGTCCCGACAGTGGCCTAGGAGGTCTCCAAAGATGATCTACGGGTCCCCACAGTGGCCTAGGAGGTCTCCACGGTGGCCTAGGAGGTCCCCAAAAATGATCTATGGGTCCTCTGCGATGTCTGTGGGTCCCCACAGTGGCCTACGGGTCCCCACGGTGGCCTAGAGAGTCTCCAAAGATGATCTGTGGGTTCCTTGGGACGTCTATGGGTCCCCACAGTGGCCTACGGGTCCCCATGGTGGCCTAGAGAGTCTCCAAAGATGATCTACGGGTCCCCACAGTGGCCTACGGGTCCCCACGGTGGCCTAGGGGTCTCCAAAGCCGATCTATGGGTCCCCTGGGATATCTAAGGGGTGTCCTACAGGTCCCCACAGTGACCTAGGGCTCCCCGTGGTGGCCTAGGGGCCCCCAAAGTGGCCCTACAGGTCCCCATGTGGTGTCCATGGGGTCCCCACCTTGTCCCCCACATCCCCGGGGGGTCCCGGCAGGGCCCCTGGGCCCCCCACCCCACCCCCCCCGGCACCCCTAGCCC